ATATATAATGTTAATTAATTGAAAAATTGTGTCACTATATTTAATTTATTTAAATTAAAAATATTTTGTTTATTGGATTAATTTGTCTATTTATATAGATAATATATTTTTATTATATTAAATTTGATATTTATAATTTTTTTGCCGTATTCAGTTCATATCAATTGTGGTGTAATATAATAAAACTATAAATTTTTATCAATAACTTTTTATTTTATTTTAAAAATTAGGATGTTAACATTTTAATAAAATATTATTTTTGTATGTTACAAATGATTTTAAATTGCTTAAAAAATTCAAGAGAGTTAACAATGATCCCTTATAATTTGTTTATCATTTGTGTATGTACGTGTAAAAGAGAGAATATAAGATATTGGTGCTAAGGAAAACTATTTTTGAATTAAGCAGTTAAAAACTTGCATCCGTGTGAAAATTAAATAGATTATTTAATCGTAGCGAGATAATGGATGATCATAAAATAAGATATATAATATGCAATGCTCTAGGGGTACGAGAGAGAGAGAGAGAGAGAGAGAGAGAAATGTCTACAACGTTAAACGCGGCGTCGAGCCGAACAGTGTTCGACTCCATCCGCGGCTCCAATCTTTCCTCTTTCATATCATACCAATGACTTGTCCAGTTGCGGTGATTATCAGGGGGTATGCGCTACATTTTCGGTTCCTTTCCTCTCTCCAGTGAAATTTCTCGCTACCAAAGAACCTTTTGAGGCCATTCACTGTAAGATTCCGTCCTATTCGTTGTCTTCTAATTGATGAAATCAATTTATTTATTTTCTTTTTCCCTCTTCCCTTTCAAGATCAAAGGAAGAAAGCAACGAAAATGCTAGTTGAAAATGCTAATTTATAATTATTTACGGCTAAAAAAATAATAATTACTGAACGTTGAATTCACTAGCTTGGATATCTTAATCATTTTCCCCCTTTCTTAAAGTTTCAAACTTTGAATAGATCTTCATATTTGTTTTGTCCATCTAATTGCTGAAGCGTCAACCGAGCAAGAAACCCTTTGTTTATAAACAATGTGGAACATTGGTCAGTCATTAACCGGAGATAATGAAGAGCAAGGAGAGAGTTTGTTGGGTGAGGACTCTGGTGGCCTCTGCTCCCTCTCTACAACGCAGGTGCTGTCAAAAATTTTCTCAAATCTTTCTCTTTGAGATTGATTTAGGGTTTCTGCCGTAAATTTCTCAAGAAACACTTCTAAGAAAGCAAAATAGGAAGAAAAAGAATGAAATAAGCTTCTCATTAAGCTAAAATTAACTTATGCATAAGCTAATTTGTTGAAGTTTTCTTCAATTAGCTTATCCAAAATTTTATTTTTAACTCATGCATAAGCTAGTTTTAGCTTTTATGGAGAAACTTATTTTGATTTTTCTTCTAGAAGTGTTTCAGAAGCATGCCCATATATAACCTTAACAGCTCTATGTTATGACAATTTTGGTTGTTGACTAACCAGAGAATTTATGGATTTGCTGCTTGCTTGATTGCTGGTTTGGCTTGCATGTTACTGGTGAGAGAACTTTGTGTCCCCTTTCTTGTGTATTTATATTACGCATGTGTTTTACTTTTGATTTTCTATCTACATTTTTACTTGTAGAAATTTAGTAATAAAAAGAGTACTTGAATCCCTTATGAATTAGTAATGCATTAGTTAGATTAGGGGCAAATATTTAGTTGATGGAATGAAGTTATTTTCTACATATTTTAGCCATCGGTATTGCAATTTCTGATGGTGCATTGTGGCAAGTAGCAATGACAGTGAACTGAACAAAACAAACTCAAAAATAGTTTGAAATTTGATTCATTGAATTTTGTTCATGAACCAAATGAGTTAAACTCGAGCTAAATATTAAACTTGATAAATAAATGAATCGATGTTTAATTTTATATAGTGTAGCTCATTTGGTTCATGAATCGACTTAATATATAAATATATAATTAATAATTTATATAATTAACTTTGTATTTAATTTTAGCTTATCAAAATTTGGAAGAACCTTCAAAATGTAGTTATAAGTCAATAATAATAAAAGAAGTAGACACTTTAGAGTTTCATAGTTATGATTTAGATTTTCTATTATTTTATTAAGATGAAATAGTTTTTAATTTATACTTTGGTTGTAATTATGTTTCTTTGGAGTCGTATCTTATAAATTTGCAAAGCTAATAGAATTAACTATACTGGCTTTTAAAAAAAGTTAAAATTAATTTTATATAGTGTAGCTCATTTGGTTCATGAATCGACTTAATATATAAATATATAATTAATAATTTATATAATTAACTTTGTATTTAATTTTAGCTTATCAAAATTTGGAAGAACCTTCAAAATGTAGTTATAAGTCAATAATAATAAAAGAAGTAGACACTTTAGAGTTTCATAGTTATGATTTAGATTTTCTATTATTTTATTAAGATGAAATAGTTTTTAATTTATACTTTGGTTGTAATTATGTTTCTTTGGAGTCGTATCTTATAAATTTGCAAAGCTAATAGAATTAACTATACTGGCTTTTAAAAAAAGTTAAAAAATCATTTTATCTAAAATCTATTATTAAATTAAAATTTTGAAATAAGATTAGAAAAAATTGACTCTTAGTTCATGTGATTTGAGCTAATGAGCTGAACCGTTCTGCGAGTGAACTTGAATTGACTATCAAGTCAAGTTTGAGCTGGAAAAAATGGTTCATGTTGAACTCAAGTCGAACTGCGAGTTGAGTAAAATATTATCGAGTTGAGTTGAGCCAACTCATTTCCGGCCCTAGTGGAAAGTTAATGGTGTATCTTATTTATAGGAAATCAGCTGTCATATGCTTCACCCAGGTAGAAAATAACTATATCTGATTTCTTCTGATATTTCATCTGTAAGAGGCAATTTTCCTACTGTCTGACTGAAAGCATAAAGATACTACAATAGGCAAGATTTTATATTAAATGTTAAATTCATGTTTCGCAGCATAGTGGAAGAAAAAGATAATTAAATTTTTTCAACATCTAAATCAGAAACCAACCCAGAATGATACTCTTGAAAACAAGAACAACTCACAAAAAGAAAAGATAGAGTAAGTGTTAGGACTACAGGGAAGGGAGTTAGTTAGAATAGTTAGAATATTAATTAGTTAACTAGAGGGCTTAATTAGATATAAATAGGGGAAGAAGGATAGAAGGGTTCATTCATATATGTTCATTTGTAAATTGTGCATTAGCTCTCTGGGAAACGATAAATCCTTTGTGAAGGGAAAACCCTTGGAGGAGAATTGCCTCTCCTATTCTTTATTTTTTACTTGTATATCCATATAATTTTATTTCTAATTTCTAATTTCTAATATATACAAGCAGAGATGCATGCTGCAACATTGACATCTCAACTACATAATCAACTTAACTTTTTTTCCAGAACAACAATTTATGAATGGTATCACATTTTGGTTATGTCCCTTACTTTTTTCTCTCAACTCATCTATTCTCCTCCTATTCCTTCTTGTCATTACTCATCTTTAACTTCTCTTATACCTCCTAAATTTGGCTCATTACTCTTAGAAGTACTTGAAGTTTACAAGTTTGAATGAAAATATTTTTGGGGTGAGTAACTACCCAGATCTGAATATTATATATATATATATATATATATATATATATATGTATGTATGTATATATATATATATAGAAGAGGGATTCATTTACTATAAGAGTTAGTTTAGTTAGACTTACTCTACTTAATAACTCATTGAATTTTAACAATCCAATCATTGAATAATAAGTTCTTAATGCATATATCAAATTTGCATAGTTTTAAAAAATTTGAAAATCATGATACTTTGTTTTATAAATTCAAATTGACAGATAACCATAAAATCATTTTGTATGTTGATTTGAATCTAAATAATGAAGTATCGTATAGCTTTTCAATTTTTTAAAATTTTGTAGATTTGATCTATTTATTAAGAACTTGTTATTCAATGGTTGGATTGTTAAAATTTAATGTAAAACATAAGTTATTGAGTGGAGTAAGTCTAACTAGACTTACTCTTAGAGTAAGTGAATCTCTCGTCATATATATATATATATATATGTGTGTGTGTGTGTGTATGAGAGAGAGAATACAAAAGAAGGAACAACCTAATACTGTCAAGAAAATATAAAATACATAAATCTAAAAATATATATTCTAACACTCCCCCTAAAACTGGAGCATATAAATTGTATGCACTAAGCTTGGAGCACAAAAATTGGATTTAGGTCCCCTTAAGGATTTAGTCATGATATCAGCAATTTGATCACTAGAATTCAATGTTGTCAAATATCCGATATAACAAAAAAAAAACGTCGCGGTTTAGGTCCAAACTGTCATTCGCCATCCATTTTATGAAGGTTTATGGTGGTGTCCAGCATTTCCGTTATGGCACTTGCCATGGCCATGGCGTCATGATGTTTTATGGCAGTCATGACGGTTTTTTTTTTTTAAAAAAAAAAACCTATTTTTGAGCTTCAAACCAAGCCCAAATGGAGTGAGCCCTTATGTTTTTCTGGCTCATCTCACTTCTTGCTCATAGTCGCAAAGTTCCGCATATGAAGGACACGCGGAATCTACCCTAGGTTTGTAAACCTCTCTAGTCACCTTCGTTCTACTCCAACCACAACTCTCCGGTCACCGTTGCAGCCGGTGACCTAAATCACAGTGGCCCAACACTCCGGCGAGCAATTCAAACAAATATCTTCAAGAAACGTAGCAAGTGTTTTTTTTCTTTGTTTTTTATCCTACTTCTTCCTTCATCTATTCTTCATCTACGACTGTTGATACTTATTTATTCATTCTCTCGCTGTCTCTTTTTTTTTTCTTGCTTCTTCCTTCAACCATTCTTCATCTGCTAGTGCGCTCGTGAATTTATTTTTAGTTCTAACATTCTATTCCTATTTTGGTATTGTGTTCCTATTCTTATTTTTAGGACAATGTCAAGCAACCCAAACCAAAGGCATACAACCTCAAACTCTATTAATAGGACAGAAATAGGATGGAAACATTGTCATTTTTAGCATTATTGTTGTGTTTTAATCAATTAGGTTTGGAACTTAATGAATTATGGCATTGTTATGATATGTAACTATTTAAGTTGATATTTTGTTGTTTTTAAATTTTAATTTATTTTTTCTGCTTGTTATGTATTTTTTACTGTTTTCTTTTGTGTGTGTGTGTATATATATATATATATTTTTTTTTTTTTTTTTTTTTTCCGCCATGGTATCTACCATATGTTTATAAAGGATTTTTGACTCACCATCATAGACTTTTATCCGTTATCGATAACCTTGCTAGAATTTACAAATTCAGTGACAATTTCCTTGGACAACAGCTTCTCTCTAACAAAATGACAATCCACCTCTATATATTTAGTCCTCATGAAATAGTGGATTAGAGACAATGTGAGGGGCTGCTTGATTATCACATTATAATTTCATTGGTTGAACTTCACATAATTTTAACTCTTGAAGGAGTTGTTTAATGCATACAAGTTCACAAGTAATCAAAGCCATAGATTGATATTCTACTTTAGCACTAAATCTAGCAACAACATTCTATTTTTTGCTTTTCCAGGAGATGATATTTCCACTGACAAATACATAGTATCTAGAAGTATAAAGTCGGTCTACAAGACAACCTACCCAATCAACATCATAGTACCCTGAAATTTGGCTATCTCCTCTCTCCTCATATAACAAACCTTGACCTGGGGCCTTTTTGATGTATCTCAGAATACATATAACAGCATTCTAATGATCAATGCGAGGGGCTTGCAATAATTGACTACCAATGCTTAATCGTGAGATAAATAAGTTTACCAACCAATCTCCTATATTTCTTTGGATCTACAAATGGTTCACCAAAATAAAGTTTATAATTTCTTTGTATTTGCTCTAGTTCTATCTAGAAGTAATTTCCAATACTTTGAAACAGTTTCTATTCCTACTTGCTCTAGTTCTATCTAGAAGTAATTTCAATCTTTTCCGGTAAATTACCTATCTTTGGAAGCTCGTGCAACTTTTTTCTCTTTTTGTTTTTACAAATCTTGGTAACTTGGCTCATATAAATACAATTGATGTCTGAAATTTTTTTAATATCATATGATGTGCAACTTATTGTACTTGATGCAAAATATTGATATTTTGTTCTCTATTAATTTTGAAGTTTTAGGAACCTCAAATAAATTGTTAACTTAAAATACTTCATTTGTTTGTTTTCCTCCCCTATTTTGCAGTCAATGATTGTTTTTGCGAAACCAATCAAATTTGCAGTACTGTTCACCTTTGGCAACCTGTTAGCAGTTGGAAGGTAGATTCAATTTGCTCCTTGATGATCTGAGATTTAAAAGTAACTTTCCCCAAGCTACATTTGAGTTGTTTGTATTATAGGTTAGTTCAGCTTGATGTGAATTCAACCTTTAACAAATTTTATTTCTTTTCATGCATATAACCACCCCCAATACCCAAAGAATATGAAGAGAAATGAAGCTACCTGAATAGTTAACATTCTTGCCCGTAAAGCATTTTCTGCATCTTCACTAATAGAGCTCTTTCATCATTTTGATGTATTTACTTTTAAGACTTTATTAATAAGACATGATGTTTTCTTCATTCTCCTTTTCTTCTAATATGTACGCATGTTCTTTCTTTCATTCTTGTAATTTTCTTCTAATATGTACTTCTATTTATATTTTAATTTTGCTATTATGGCAGATTTAATCATTTTTGTCTGTCTTCCAGTTTCCTGGATTTAGTTCGATAGACCATCCAACTTCTTTTTGTATGTCTGCAGTACAGCCTTTCTTCTTGGACCTGCACAACAACTGGGAATGATGTTTGACCCTGTTCGCGTTTTTGCAACAGCCATATACCTTGGATGTGTGGTTATAGCACTTATTTGTGCTCTCTGGGTAAGTCCTACTCTTTTGATTGCTACAACTTACAAGCTCCATATAAATACCTATTGCTTGAATATACTAATAACTTGCATATTTTAATGTAATCACGAGTTGTTAATTTTAAAAAGTGAGATTAGTGAGGAAATTTGAAAAATCTTTTCAGCTTTTGTCTATTTTCCAATTTTGACAAAGCACGCCGAGTCGCTGCCAAATTGTTACTGTTAATACTATGAATGTTTTTTCTATAATCAAGCTGTCTTAATTAGTATAATGACTCCATGGCCTCTTTTCAGCCTTTCTTACTTGAATGGGCAACTGATGCTTTTTTCATATTCTGCAGATTCATAGCAAAGTATTGACCATAATTGCTATCATAATTGAGATTGGTGCTCTTATTTGGTAAGTTTGCTTTCAACAGCCCTGTTCGGTGACACATTTGTGACATGAAAGTCGTTTACGAAAGAACAATTTCCAAAGGAATGCTTTTCATAGCATGTTTTTGTTTTTTTACCTTCATGTAGACTATTAATAGTTCCACGTTGTTGCAGGTATAGCCTCAGTTATATACCTTTTGCTCGAAGAATGGTTTCTGAGTTGATGATCAGATTATGTGATACAGAACTTTGATTAAAAAAAAAAAACCAAAACAAAATACCAAATCAAGGGTGCTTCATATTGATTACTGATTGGCGATTGCTTGACATTTTGATTTTGTAGCACTTTGAATTAGCATCACTGATTGATTATGAAATTCAGATGTTAGTTTTGTGCCATGAAACCTCTTATTGGCCTTTACGAGGATTCATGTTCATGACCCAATTCCTTTCCCCTCCACTTGAAAGTTGAAACATAGAATGTAATATGAATAAAAATTGTTTCCACGAATGTGTTGAAAACGGGACCGACCATGAGGCTAGTTTGGAAGGGTGATGACCCAAGTCTCAGGCTAAAAAGAGCCCCCAAAAAATAATAAAAAGTATTATATAGTTGTGCGATATATATTTTAATATTGCTTTATGTTATTTTCATAAATCAATTGAAATTACTGTCCCATTTCATGTCTCATTGTTTTCAAATTAAAATGTGATGTGATTAATAAGTATTACTCTTTTGGTTATTAGTTTTTTTCCATGTGTTATATTCATAAATTATAAAATTTCAGCGCACTGTTACATGTCAATATGTAATGAACTTGTAATATTAAGTTTAAAGTCTTTATTTTGTTTAATAGGAAAGGACAGAGAAATTAAAACTCAAGTTATAAAGGAATTAAACATAAAGTTGGTATATTAATAAAGAACAAAATATACTTAAGCAAGCTTGATAAGAAATGACATTTTGTTAATAATAAACGAAAAGAACGAGACTAGAGCATTTTATTTTGAAAGGGTAAATATAAAAATTAAATTAAATTAAAGTTATAAAAATATATTAAATTTAAACTACAACTATTTTTTTTTTCATAATAATTGACTATGTAACACTGGTTTTTATACTTTATTGATTAATTATATGACTATATGACGTGTTGTTTAATTGTTGAATTGTATTTATTGTTATTTTAGAGACCTAAGAATAGAGATCCTAAAGAGTTATGTTCTTGATTATAGTTTTAGATAGGGTTAAGTTAATTAAGTTTAAGGGGGTATATAAGATTTTTCTTAAGACGTAAACTTTATAAGTTTATATCTTAAAGAAAGTTAGAAATAAGTTAAAGAGGTGAGTTCTCGAATTAGGGAGAATTCCTTCTATTAAATTCATTAAGAGCATTAAAATCTTTCCCATAGCTGAGAGATTAAGGATTCCAAGCTCGAAGGTAAGAATCTTAAGTGGAGAGAGTCGTACGGTGGCCCCAAAAACTTTTGATTTTACCTTCCTTTTTCTTGATTTTTGGGTTATTCAAGGTTAGGCGAGTTTATGATTGGTTATTGTTGAGTTGTAATACTTAATGGTTGTTTGAATTCATCAATTGATGGTTGTTTTGATTGAATTAAGATGAGATGATGTGTATTGAGTTTTGGTTCTTGAAGGTGTTTTGAAGAGAATATGATGATTCTTGAATTATGTTGGTTGCATGTTGTATTTTTTGTTGGAAATGAGTTATCTATGTTGTATATAAGTTGAAAGTTAGATTTCATGTTGGTTTTGCTAAGTAACTTATAGGTTTGAGCCAAATCAAGAGTCTTGCTAAATGAAAAAATCATCATGGCATTGGGCCTAACTTCATGGCATTGATCGTGGCTCAAGTTAGAGGCTTTTTGCTCTAATGATATTGGGCGTGGGAATGGTAGTGTCAGACGTGAGATTGGTAGCGTCAGAAATGGGTTAATGAGGAGCTTTTTGCCTTGGTGGATGAGAGGTGTCAGGTGTGATTGTTCGAAGGATTCTCTAACTTGGTGATGTCAGATGCAGGATTGGTGGCATTAGGCGTGATCAAGTCAGTGACTCTCTACTTGGATAATGTTAGATGCAGATTGTGTGACGTTGGACATGAGTCAAGTAGAGGTTCTCTATCTCGATGAGGTCAAGCATAGGTTTAGCTACACCAGGCATGATTGATATAGAAGCTCTTTATCTTATCTACCCGAGTATGGGCAAGCTAGAGACTCAATCTCAATGATATTGGGCACTAGGTATATGGTACCAAGCATGAATATTTTGAAGAAACTTGTTTTAAGTTGTTTAAGTGTTGAAGTATGATGCTCTACTTTCATGATGCATTATGCTACTTGATGCTAGTTCATTATGTATTGTTCTATGATGATATATAATGATGTTTTAAGTTGTTTAAGTTGGTGGTTATCTTTCATTGGATGTTGATTAAGTTGCAAGATGTATTTTGTTTTTAAGTTGTATGTAGTAAGTTGATTAAAGTTTTTAAGTTGTGATACATGTTTAAGTTGAGATACATACAATAAAAAGTAAAATAAAATAAAAAGCTAGAGGGGAGTAAAGCTATTTTAGAATTAAAATATCTATTGTGTGGATATAAGTTGTGGTGCTCAAAGAGACCAAAGTTGAAAATCCTTCAATGAGTAAGGTATGGAAGTTGTTTTTAAGTTGTCTTCTCTAGGTTTTTATGTGGAAGCATGTGGGGCAAGGTCGAGCCATACATGTTAGAATTGACCAAACTAAGTAGCGTATGAAGTTGAGAGGTAAAATTCTTAATTAATTACTAGACAGGTGCATAGTATTTGAAGGTAATTGGTGGGCTAATTCCATAAAAGGATTAGTTATGCATTTTAAGGTCGCGGTATGCTCACACCCAAGTTGTTATACCCTGATAGTAGTACTAGACTTTCCTATTTTAAGTGACGAAACCTGAGAAATCAATTTAAGTTGTTAAATAGACGCCTGTGTGGCTTGAATTTGTATCTACTTGACTCGGATGAAATGGGCTAGACGTAGTGATTCAGTAGGGTCAAGTCATTTAGGCTACTAACCTCAGCTATAGAAGATCTTCATAAGTTGATATGCGTGATGACATGTTAGATTTTTTAAAGCTGTTTAATTTGTGATTGAAGTTGTGTCTATTAAGAATGATGATAATATGTTGATGTTATGCTATGAGCTAACTTAAGCATTATAAACCACTTAATGTTTTTAAGTGGTTTATGTTGCTTAAGTTGTAATTTGACTACTTGTTATTATGTTGATTCTTTCACAAGTTTTTTTTTCATTGTTGTTGGACTACAATAATCATACTTGGCATGAAAGTGAACTAAGATTAGCTTGGATGGCTTGGCTTACTAGTCGATGGTCATGCTAGAGATGACCTGCTTTGAGTATACTACTCTTATGCAATATTGTTGAATAAATATGTTTGACCGACTCTAGCATTATTTTGTATACAATATTGTATATTTTATGTATATTATATATATGTACAAGGATTATATATTGACAAAAATTGTTTTATGTTTTCCAGTTATATTGACAGAAATTGATTTATGTTTTCTACACCCTATATAGATATTTGTTGCTTCAATATCCAAGTTTTGTTGCATGACAACCCTAGAGTAGTTGATTGCTTTTATATTTTTCAAAGCATAGTATTGTACTATACTTCCAAATAGAGTAGCTTGTTCTAATTTTTTGGTTAGACTAATTCAAACCAACTGTGCATCTATCCACATCTAGTGATGAATTCACTTGGTCCAATGGTTAGGTTGGTTAGCAAAATATTGATATGAGACTTGATAGAGTAGTTTGTAACTCAATGAGTTTAGAATTTTGGGATTCTATCTCTTGTCACACCCTTATTAAAAGTAAGTCTGATCATTTCCCTTTGCTTATGAATTTGGCAAAACAAGATCAAGTTGGCTCTCACTCTTAATTTAAATTCATGGATATATATGGAATTTCATCCAGACTATCGATAACTAGTAAAGGAAGTATGGAGATTTCCAATCCATGGCTACTCTATGTTTGTTTTAAAATAGAAGCTTAAAAATCTTAAGATGGATTTTAAAGTTTGGAATGGAGAATATTTGGGGATGTTCATCAACGGGTTTTAAATGCTCAAGCTACATTGGAATCTATCCAAGGCCTCCCAAAAATTATGGTGAAGCAAAGGTAACTGAATCAAAAGCCAAAGCAGAAGTGGAGCTATAACAAACTTTATCATAAGAATCTTACTAGAAGGAAAAATCATGATTGCAATGGTTTTCCAATGGTGATTGAAACACAAACGTCTTTCACCAAATGGTTAAGTATAGGCGCAAAATGCAACAAATGTGTTTTTTTAAGGGATGATGATCTCACCTCGATTTCACAAGAGGAAATCTATAATCATGTGATATAGATATATCATACCCTATATGGGTCACCCAATTCGTGTAAGAATAATGATAAGAAATGTTGATTTCTCTATGAATGGCACAAGTGCACCAAGGCCAGATGGATTTGGAGGTAACTTTTATCACTTTTTTGGGACATTATTGAGGTGGATGTCTTTAACTTGGTGTTGCAATTTTTTTAAACAAATATGGATATTGCCTTCCCTTAATTCTAACTTAAGGGCCCTGATTCCTAAGTTTCAAAGGGTAGAGAAAATTGGTGATTACATACCTTTTGCATTCACTAACTTCCAATTCAAGATCATCACGAAAGTTCTTGGGGATAGATTGGCCTCAATTGCGCCTAAGATCGTATCAGTGCTACAACGAGGTTTTATTCAGGTCATCAAATTTCATATTGTATTTGTACCATTTTGCAGGCTATAAACATGTTGGTGCGTAAGCGTTTTGGTGGTAACTTGACTATAAAGTTTGATATTATAAAAGCCTTTGACATTTTGGACTGCCATTTTCTACTTACAATTTTGAAAGCTTTTGGTTTTAGTAGTACCTTTTATAGATGGATTGAAACTATTCTTCATTATGGCAAGCTCTCTTTTAGTGTCAATGGATATAGTGTAGGTTACATTGGATGTAAAAGAGGAGTTTGTCAAGGAAACCCATTATCCTTTTTTCTTTTTTATCTTGCAAAGGATGTTTTAAGTAGGGAAATTTCTTTTGTTGGTTGAACAAAACTACTTTTTTCGATAGTCAATCTCAAAGCTCATCCCACTTTGTCTCATGTTCTATATGTGGATGATATTATGGCTTTTTGCCAAGGCACGATAAAAAAAACTGTAACGTTGGATGGGTCTCTTCCATATGTGTGGTGATGTCTCAAGTCAATATTTTAGTCTTGATAAATGTAGATTCTTCTATAGCTCTATGAACTTTACCGGGTAGCCATGATATGTGATTTTTTAGGTTTTGATGCTAGCCCCACATCATTTATTTACTTGGGCCTCCCAATCTTTAAAGGTAAGCCTCAAGCTTATCATTTTCATGGGATACTTGATAAGCTTAAGGCTAAGCTAGCCTCTTGGAATG